CTGGAGATGTATTGCTAAAACTTTGTTCCTAAGCTGAAAAACATAGAAAATCATTAACTGCTTTGGTTCCATCAAAGTATAGAACACTGGGCCTGGATTAAAACATAAGCATGACACACCTTGCTCAGGGCCTCTGCTGCAATGTTAATGACATACCAGAATTTCACTTCTCCTGTTTGCTTAAAGACAGTAGCCCTCAGTTTTGCAAGGGAAAAAACCCAAACAAACAGATATAGGGTGATGTCTTCTTCACCACTTGAAACAACAGGTCTCAGAGGTATCGATTTCCCCAAAGGTCTTGGTCAAGGCATGGGACGGAACCAACTGCAAAGGGGATTCCTCTAACTGCCTTTCATCTCTCCAAATTGGATAGAGACCCTAATGCCATTAGAGAAGAGAAAGTGGTCTCACATCACTGAGAGATGGGTAAGGGTCTTTGTCCCCATCACTTCAACTTGGGCAGGGCGAACAACACGACAGAACATCAGAGCTGGAGGGGCTCTAGTATTATGGGATCTCAGCAGACCTGCACCCTTTACTTCAGTTTTCTAATAAATACAAGAAAATAATGTGTTCTGTGGGTCAAAATGTTGTCCAGATTTCACTTTGACTTAGTTTATTTTTTTACACATATCCCACTGCACATAAGCTATGCACATTAAAGGCTTTTGGAGCCCCTTGCAAAGGCTGGTGCATTAAGCTAGGAACTCCCTATGGTTGGGAAGATGCAAGTGAGGATAGTAACTTCCTCAGGGCTACAGACTATGTCAGTGGCAGAGTTAGGTGTACAATTCGTGTGTTTTTAATTATGTCTCTCAGCTGATATCCATGGCGAAAGGATTAGATAAAAATCAATTGTACAACTTAACATATGGCACTGCATGCTGCCATGTTGCTTTTAGTCTGAATAAACCCTTGAAATGAGGAAGAATATAATGCTGCAGAGCTGCAATACCATTCTTCAGTCTGCGTACAAAAAGTTCCTCAAGATCTCTGTTTTTGAGCAAGTAAATGTCAGGAAAAGAAATAGCCAAATTCTCAACATCTTAAAAAAATCCACCTGAACATCCAAAATAAAGTGAAAATCAGTGATTCAGTATTCAAGTACAAGGCAGCAGAAAATCTCAGAGGCAGGATTATTAGGTACTGCAACATGGAAAAAGGGACATAAGGAGAGATTTTAAGGTGCTAAGACAATGGCAATGCTAGACTTAGACGCAGAATATTAAAACTGGGGTGGAACAGAAATTTCAAACTATGAATTTTCATCCTCCCCTCTTAAAAAACAAAACATCCCAACCATTTCTTCCCAGTTTGTATGTGAGAGGCCAAGTCAAGTCATCAATTTCTTCTCCTTTTCCGTGTGTGTTCTGTTATCAGGAAGATGCTCGGTAAATGATGAATGGTCCTGCTGCAATGTCCTATCTTTTATAGGGATCACAGCTCCATATAACAGTAATTAAGCCAACGTATTTGTGTCCAATTTGTCTAAAGTTATTACAACTCATATTTTCATCATACTTTTCTATCTGTATTTATCTGCTTCAGCAAACAGCAAACAATTTAAAGTCCAGCATATGTTGGATGAGACATTTCACTATTTTACCCTGGAGTTTTGATACTTGTATGGCGTATTTTGATCCTTAGTGACTTTCTTACCCATCTTAGTCACATTCTTAAAATATTCCTGTTCAATTCTTCAAATATTTTTAATGCCTAAATATACATGCAGTGCCTCCCCCAATTATTGGAAGTCTAATTACTGTACAGTGTGGTGTGTACATGCAGTCAAATAGGAATTTATGTTGACTGGCTCATATAATTAGATTTTGCCATTGCATTTAATTTTAGAATAAACCACATTTATTTCCCTTACACTAGCTTCCGGAAATAAATTAGAGTTGAAGCAATCAGATTTTTCCAGGCTTCTCTAATTCTCAGTCTAAATTCATTTGGTCTACTGAGTACAGCAGTTATTTAGGGCCCAAAACATCAGAGAAAGTTTGCAGGTTTGATTGCTTTTTCTAAGGGGGCTGTTGGGGAGTATAAGGAGTGTTTAAGCACAAATGGATAGATGCTGGTAACCTTTCAGCCAGGGTCTCCTCAGGAGGATGCAGGCCCAGTTTAACAATGAGGCTTCATTAGAATTACCTGCTATTAGCATCGATACAAACCTAGTTTTTCTAGCACAGGCAAGGTTCAAAGGAGAGCCTGACAGCACTGACTTGTTCCAAGGGGCAGGATTGGTGGGTGTAGCCAAGTTCCCTGTTAATTTAAGTAAGCGTAAATGCAGTGAAGTCACTGTAGTGAACACCACACACATCTTTGGCCATGGTACATGCTGTATCCAATCACACTGTACTTGCCTTCAGTTCAACTTCCTAAATTACACAGGATGGACCCACAGCTTGCTTAGTGCGGAAGGGACAGCATATAAATCAAAAGGTATATATAAATAGGTGTGGGGACAGGAAAGGAAAAGAGTTCAGCAACACACACACCTTAAAAAGTGGTAACATTGCTCACTCCCAGATGACCGCACATGAATACGTGGGAAGTAACGTGCACTGCCAAGACGTGGCTAAACTTAAGTCTCACGGGATTGAAAAAGATATTAAATATGATTTTTGAAGTAAACCATGCAAATGTAACTAGGCTCTCAGATCAGCAAATGATTAGTATATGCTACAAATAAAAGGTCTGTCTGCCATCTGAAATGGATTAACCAAGAGGTATTTTAAGGCCAATGGACTAACTGTAATTTCTGGTGACAAGGAAATGTTTTCTCCATTCCAGCACTTCATGCAGAAATTACTTTAATTATTCTAACCCAGGTGTGAGATTTTTAGAAAATGTTAAGTGTAGTGAAGGCAACTCTTTAAGAGTAAAAATAAATTATTACTTTAAACTATTTTTTAATTAATATTTTAAATTTATTTTTTTTTAAGAAAACCTTTTCAGTGATACCCTGCATATGATTCAGAAGAGCTGAATTTGAGAGCTACTTACAGATCTGCCTGCGTGTTCTTGCATGCAGATTTTGTACTCCAGGGACCAGTGTAATTTGCAGTTGGGAAGCTTCTTTTAGGATTTTGATCTCCACCCTAGAAAACAGAGTTGGAACCCTGAGCAGGATCTAACTATATTCAGTACGAGAAGTGAAACATAAAATACATGCTGAAAAAAAAAACACAAAACTGAATGCTAAATAGCTTCAAGTTGCTGCCATGATTTTTTTTTTTTAATTATTTGTGCTTTCCATGATGAATGTCCACAGATGTGGAAAAGACATGGTTACTAGTTTGTTTTTTTCCTTTTGAAACAGGATAGGAGCCTGCCATCAGCAGGGAACTAACTGATCTTCAAAAGGCCTATCAAATGTAGTTTCACAGTAGCTTCAGTTCTTGTGATTGTGAAACTGGAAGCCCATGTTTGCAGCTAAGCTTGCTCTAGCTTATTGACAAAACTGTACAGCACACAAGACTGGCAGTAGAGCATATAATCAAAATGACATATGAGAATACTGATTACAAATAAGAATGTTGTGTATGTAGACACTGAAGAGTACTGGCCAGCTGGCCTCATTGCTAGTGCAGAACCTTGTCCAGTGCTTGTCTCTTTTCCATTTCACAATGAGGGTAGTGGCTCTGTTCCTGTTGACTTCCAAATGAAAAGATGGGTCTAGCAGAAACTGTTCTGAGGAAGTTCTCACGTTTCCTGAAATCCTAGTGACATCATCATTCAAACTCAACAACTAATCAATGAAGGGCTTTTTTGAGGGTGCAGCTATAGGTTTATAATCTGGTAATGTGACTGTTGCCACAGAAACAAAAATTTAATTTTCTGGCTCATTTCAAACATGGAGTTGAATTACATTTCTGTCTCTACATTTAATGAACAAATCGTTCCAATATTTGTGAAATTTAATTAAGATGGGGAGCTCACATGAGGAAGAGGGAGGCTGCTGCAAAAGCCATAATAAGCTGATATTTATTGCAGAAGGGGATACCTAAAGCAAAGCATTCTTTGCTGTCTCTGCAGTGCCTGAGCTCAGTCTTAGTTAAAAGACATGTTAAAAAAACCCAACAAAAACCAAACAAAAATCTAAAGTAGAAATGGTAGGGCATTAGTTCACTGCCCTAGGCCAAAGGAAGCCTTGCAGAGACAGTTGGGGCATTTTGCCTCCTGCTTGAAGCTAAAATATATGGCAAAATGCACTTTCTCTCTTGCTAGAGAGAACTCTGGTTTATAATAGAGACAATGTTCCTGGGGACCTCTGTTGCCAGGGCATTGTATACCCTGGCAGCACTATGATTCTAAATGACCAAAATAATAATCTTTTCACACTACCTCCTCTATCACCACACCTACCCCCTCCCCCCCCCCAAAAAAAAAAGGCATTAATATTCCCCTGATAGCTTTCTTGATCTTTCATTTTTGTACCTTCCCACAGAACAGAATTTCTGCTTACAGAAAAGTCTGGACAAAAGATGTCCTATGTCATGCTTACTTTGTCTTCCCTGATCATTAGCAAGAAGACAGCAAGATTTCTAGATGGAAAGAAAATTCTAAAGAGGGACTTGAATATCATCTCTACATATGATCCACAAGAGAACATTTAACTTCAGTGTGCTCAATAGCCTAAACCTAGCCTAGCTTTTTATAACCTGGATGGCTCTACAGCACTCATACATGCTTTGGTAAAACAAATGCTAACCTTGTATCTGCAAGTATGTTTCAACCATAAGCCTTTCTTTTTTTTTTTTCTTTTAAGTGAAAACCTTTAAAAGGATAGTCTATTTTTATATGTAAGTTTCTACCAGTATTAATTCAGAGGTTTTTTAATATTTGTATTGACATATAATTACCCTCCTATGCAGATATTGCTTTGACAGCCACACTAACTAACCTGGAATAGTTGCAAACATTCAGAAAGTTTGCTTCAACAAAATTCCTGAAATATTAATAGTTTCTGACTATAACTGTTGAAATTAACAAAACACAAGCAACAATTTAATATTGCAGATAACAGAATTTTTCTTTCTTAGGAAGACTATGATCGTCTGAGACCTTTATCTTATCCTATGACCGATGTCTTCCTTATCTGCTTCTCAGTGGTAAATCCTGCTTCATTTCAAAATGTGAAGGAAGAGTGGGTACCGGAGTTGAAGGAATATGCACCTAATGTTCCCTTTTTACTAGTAGGAACACAGGTATATCTGGTTCTGTTCTGCTTTATTTAAACAATTCAGATCATTGTATGCTGCCTTTTCTTTGGGCTGAGAAGTTCAGGCACGGCAGGACCTGAGCAGCATCTCCTTCTGGCTTTGGAGGAATGACACTACAGAGTGGCAGAAAACCTAGGTCTTTGGTGTTCTCTAGTAAGCAACATCCATTTTGTTAAAATATGACTTTCTAGAAAGTCATGGAACTTATGGAATAAAATTGTCTGTTCATAACCATGTTACTGGAGTTCCTTGGGTCTACAACTATTGGTCATACCCAATATTTGAAGCAAAGGAGCAAGGGGAGAAGTGGTAGTATGTTTGTGTTAATCTTTCTGCCACTGCTGAATATACATTCTGGTATTCTGAGATAACTGAAGTGATGAATTACAGAATAAACATTTGTTCATTCACAGCTTAAGTTTCCAGGGCTTTTGGATCAGGAGGGGTCCACAATCTGATTCATGACACAAATCCATTTTTATACATGTGACATTCATTTAAATAAATAATTCTGCTTTAAAAGGAGGGTATCTTATATAGCCTGCTGACTTTTGTTTAAAAGTGTATTCCAACATGACTGCAATCTTTCTTGCTAGATTGATCTTCGTGATGACCCAAAAACTCTGTCAAGACTGAATGATATGAAAGAGAAGCCGGTATCTGCGGAGCAAGGACAGAAGTTAGCAAAAGAGGTAAACATACTCCTAAATGAAACCACATAGCAAAGAAGAAAAAAAAAATATATTTCAAATAGAGTCTTTCTTCCCTTACCATCCATTTCTTTTACCAGTCAGTGTATGAAACCATATGACTGATAACCAGTTAGCAATATTTACATACATTGTTGAATACTGCTAACAAGCAGACCTATGTAACAGCACTTCCCTGCTAGGAATAGTTGTAACTTTCTGTGCAGACACTTGTACAAACTACATAAGCATCAGTCAGAGAGAAGTAAAATTGCAGAGTGGTTGAGGTTGCAAGGGACATCCACTCAAGCATCGTTAAGAAATTATTTGAGAATCCTGTACTACCATTTTAACACACTGCATGGATAATGCTTATCAGGACACTTATTTTTCAGCACAGAAATTGGTGGGGAACTGCAATTCTTTTTTGCTATTTAATTACCAAAACTACCTTAGAACTCCACTGCCAATCCAAAGAGCCTATTTAGTACACCTCCTTTATAAACAAAAACAACTTAAATATATTCCAGATCTTTGGCCGAAAGACAAATCTTTTCTTCTAGAAGGGGAAGCACATTCGAATAAAATTCTAGATCACAGTCAAACACTGTGATGTCACTACAGAAAAAATACACAGAAGTGTGCAGATGGAACTGAACAGCTGAAATACATTGCTATTGTATTAACTTACTTTCTTGACAGATAGGAGCCTACTGCTATGTGGAGTGTTCAGCCTTAACACAGAAAGGACTGAAGACCGTTTTTGATGAAGCTATTATAGCCATTCTAACTCCAAAGAAACACACAGTGAAGAAGAGAATAGGCTCAAGATGCATAAACTGCTGTCTGATCACGTGAGATACATTTGACAATGGCCAGGCTTACTGTGAAATTCTACTGAATTTAAATGCAATGCATTAAGTACACAGCGAACTTGTTACAGGTTTGAAAGGTAAAACTATGACTCTGCCTTCTGCAACCAGTGAAATCCAGAGGATTAAAATCAAACTCAACGAACTTGAAATAAGAAGCCAACACATCTGTTACAAGCATTTTATTCAGACTGGAAGGTACAATCTCTCAGGGTTACATAGTCTCGAAGAAGCAAAAACTGCACCATGTTGAAATGGCATCCGAGTGATTTTATTGAGAGGAGATGCTTGGCCTGAAATACTCTAAATAGTTTTGGATAGTCTCCTGCTTTGACTATACATACATACATATATATATCTTATAAAAACAACAACTTTTGCACAGTCTATGGAATCTGCACAAAGAAATACCTTGTCTCTCTCTGCTCCAGTTATCTGCTTTTGTATGTAAGCTGCTTCCGGTTCCAGTGTATCCACAGAGGTGCAATAACCAGACCAGCCACATAGCCAAAGGTAGCTCCGAGGGAACAGGAAATGGGCCATACCTGAGGGGAGAACATAAGGTAAAAGCAGACAATGAGGAAAATGTTTGTGGGTTTTTTTGTACTTCGTGAGCACAAATTCTCAGTGTAATCTAGGTACTGAAAGACAGTACAGTCTTACTCTCAAGTTGGACATGCTTTCCTAAAAATGCCAAAAGTGTAACAATCATTTCATTAACACTAAATGCTGTTGTACAGTTTTTAATTAATACGCATTAAAATGTAACCAGGCTTCTGGCTGTTGCAGACTTTAGTTTGATATTCCCAAAGCTTTGTGAAAAAATTTACAAGTGTTTATATATCCCCTGAAGTGTTCAGCTAGCCTAACTTCTTGTTCTGCTGCACACATTTGCAAACCTACAGATTCCTCTGTGATCTCTCCTGCCAATCTTTTATAGCATTCTCAAACTTTTAGTGGTGTGTATAAATTAACTAATATTCAAATAAGGCCAGAGACTGAGATGGATAGAGGGTTTTCTTTCTCTTTTTTTTTGTCTTGAAAAGGGATTAACTTCTCTCTGTCTAGCAGTAGGGAGGGAACATACATTTGGAACCTGACTGAATATCTTGCACCCAGTTCAGCAAACATGTAGTAAGCCAGTTATGTTAAAGAGAACTTTAGTGGTAAGCTCTATTTCCTAGTATAAGAACAGGGAACAGACTCAATGGAGTTGACTCACTTTCACAAACCATCTAGTATTGAGGCAAAGGAGTAATGGGATTCACCCCCCAGTCCCTTTTTTATTTTTTTAAATTGGTATCGATTTGCAGAGAGGAGTGGCCAAAATAAAACTTACTAAGTCTGTCCACAGATACACCTTATATTACTAGTCAACTACATACTGCATTTGATGAAAGTCTCAACTAAGTTGGTGATTAAAAACATTTATTGTAGAATAAACTGAATTCTCATCCATCTTAAAAATTCTCCTTTGCGTGGTTGGTTTGTTGGCTTTTTTTGCAAGGACAATTTTGCACTTCTGGCTGTACAGTGCACGTTCCTGAAGCAAGTGCAGACTGCACTTCTATTTTTTTAGTTTTTAAATTAAGAGGGGTATTTCCACTCTCTATAGTACGTGAGACTAAAGAATGCACTAGATGTTAAAGAAAATACCCACATCTCAGTGTCCAGCCTTTTCTATTTCATTTTGACTTGCAATTAATGAATATCAAATTAACTTATTCTCAATGGTACTGGTTCTTCATTTGTTTTCCTAGCTCCGATTCTTCACGCTACTTCATTACACACTTGGAAAATTGTATTTATTTACATCCTTTGATCATGGGAATTTTAACTAGGAATAAGAGTAGTGTATTTGTCTTCTGCTGTTTCATCCTCACATTCCTTAGCATTTGCAGTTTTATATATTATTTGGAGGTCTTAAGGAGTGTAGCAAAGATGACTATAAACAAGGTGCCTTAGGTACTCTTTATTGACCTTGTTTCATTCTTCCATTCTGGACATTCTGTCTCTGCTACTTGTTTTCTTGCTGCATATTTTGGCTGTTGCCTCTCAAACCAAAGACTGCTTGTTTTCATTCATTTAACAGCAGTATTGTAGATCTTCTATATAAAGCCTTGAGATGCTTTGGCATGGTAAGATATTATGTATATTTAAAACTCACATGAGTTTGTGGCCTTGGCTAAACTTACGCTTCAGGTGGATCTTTTCAACTTTTAAATGAAATGTAATTAAGTTATTTCTAGCATTTTACTTATTACATATGTGTAAAGGACAAAACAATTTAAAAAAGCACCTGCAAGCCCAGCTGCTCAGTCAGTAACATTCAGTTGGAACAGGAGTTGTACTTTCTTATCCACTCATGAAGTCAAATACCACTCCAGTATCCACAAAGCTATGGACAGAGGCTTCATAACACAGTGGTCTTTTTACATCCAATTCTCTGAGCGAACAAGGATCCTTCATTGAATGATACCTACATTAGGTGAATCTGTAGTTGCCTGTTTGCTTTTCAGAAACATGGGTAGATGTTGGACTCTGAATTTTTTCATGTTCTCCTAACTAGAGAGTCAATATCCCAAAGGACCCACTGACCCTGTATCTTTTGGTATTTTGTGTATAGTACATGATTGTTGGTACGATTAAAAGAATCTCTGGTGATTGTTGTAGCTTCTTTTACCTAACTGCAACTTGGAACATGGTTCTCAAATAGTTACATAACTTTTAATGTTAAGTATACCTCTGTCTTCCAAAACACTAATTTTTTCTTTTTAAAAATAAGTGTTACCTTAGATAAGTTTCAGGCTGTCTCAGTTAACACATGAATCTCTGACCTCTGAAATCTGACCCTCATCAATGGCAGCTGGCAAAGACAGGGATCAAAGGGGAGAAACCATAAAACACTCCATCTCACTGTCTATGAATGAGATACAGAAGAAACACCACCTCATCCTTTCCAGAAGGGTACTAGCCCAGATACTCATTCTTACTGTGCTGGTCAGATGGCCCAAAGTATTTCTGAAGGCAGTCTGACTGGCCTTCTGAAAAATCCCTAGGCACAGGACTTAAAAGCCTGGACCTGAAAGCATTGCTGTCCTTATGCTATTTTCTCTAACCCTCAAGGCAGGGCAAAAAACTCCCTAAAAACAGGTAATGATGCTAGTTCTGCACCTTTTATTCTTGACTGCTGGCCTACAGGCTACATATGGCTAGATGCACCCATGAGTATATCTATCTAAAGCAGCAAGTTATCAAAGACAGATTAGTATGTGGCTCTTAAGCACATCAGCTGCACTAAAATAACAACCCTTACATATGCCTTTTGTCTGTCTATGAAAGTGGGTTGCTTTACTTCACATTAGCTGCTGGCCTCATTTTTCTGAGACCAGATTACTTTCTGCTGGACCTTTTTTAATGAATTTGACTTGCTTAATTGGTCTGCTTTTGCCCTGTCTTTTATAGTACCTCAAACTTGGTTTAGTTTCCCTGACTCGGTATGAACTGCCTCTAAGTGATAAAAAACCTAAGCAGCTAATATCTGTCTGCCTGTTCTAAGATATTCCATTCCTCTTGTTTAAAGTATGCAACTTGTAATGCACCCCTCTCATCCCCTGAGAACTATTCAGCTTGGTTTCTCCTACTTTATGCTCCCTTCTGCCATGAGAAAGCTGATATATTCTACCCCAGCACTGATGTTATGTCTAGGCTGGGTCAGCAGCAGGGGAATAAGATGGTCACCAACATCGCCTAACTGCACTTTTTTTTTGAGGGGCAATAAGGTTGATATAGAGTGAAAAGTGTGGGGAACACAGGAGACAGGACAGAACATTCTTCAGGAAACTGTCATGAAATACCTTGTCTGTCCTAACAGCTGGAAAGCATCAACTACTGTCCCCATGGCCTAATACATGAAAAGTCAGTTTACATATCAAATGCATGTGGAAAAGGGCCATTTTAACAACTTGTATAGGATTACTAGGAATCTGAACAGCAGCTTGGCAAAAACAATCTCCACCTACATGCTTAACAAGAACAAAGAATGCACTTTAAGGGACAGAGCATGAGTCAGTGGTTAATACAAAATAATCCTGTCTTCTGCCATTTGTTTAAATTTTCTTTTTGCCTTTTCATCTGGCAGCAGTGAGAGGACTTAACAGAGATTTCTTTTGGCTAGCTAAATAGACACTGCAGAACTGCAAGTTTTCTAGTATACATTAGAACTCATTTTAAGAATAAGGACTGAAAATGGGAATTGCCAAACTTTGGGGACACAAATAAGCTTTTTCCTCAGCACTCTTAGGAAACACCTATGAACTGATATGAGAATGCTTAGCATATTGCATGGAAAGCAGAGCATGCTGCAGGATCCCAGCAAGGCACCTAAGCTCTGCTGTGCTAGGCAGGTAGGTAGTTAAACCAGAATTCTGACTTCATGACAGTTTCATCATGCAAGTTACAAGTCTGTAACTTGCATTCCATGTGATGGGAATTACCTGGACATTGGTAAAGACACAAAGGCCAGATTCTTAAAAGGCCAGAGCAGCAACACCCTAATGAAGTTTTTAAAGATACTATAAAGTAAGCAGCTGACTGCTGGAACTTTAATTCTACAAATGCAAATAGAGTGGGGCAATCTGCTAGACTTAGTTTTGGTTTGTTGTTGTTTTTTTTTTCAGTAAACTGGTCCCATTCTTTAGATGACTGCTTTTTCCATATTCCTAAACTCAATTTTTTGGTATGCTTATTATTTCAAAAGGTCTATTTGTGACTGTCAATTAGAAAGCTCTGTAATCATTTTTATTTCATTTTAAAACTTAATAAATGAGCACAATTACTTTCCTTCCCTGTTTCTAACATGCCTTAAATTCCTGATTGTTTAGCCTGTACTGTCTTTAAAATTTCAGTACATGCCTTTAATCTATTTTGGTTGCATGTACATGTTAACTGAAAGTGTCTGTCACATTGTACAGAATGTGTGTGTTGACAAGCAAACGCTGAGGAAAAGAAAGTGTGAGGGGTTTTTTTAGGCTGGCATTTGTAACTAGAAGTTGGTTTTGTAGTTTGTGTTCTGAAGTTATATCAACTGCCTTTGATTTCGCCATTAAGGTTTACATTAAGAAAACATATAATTAAATAAACGATAACCACACTGAAGTGGAAAAAGCTTCTACCTCTGTTTAAAAAAAGCCCTCAAACACTGCATATTGTCCCTTCTGCTCACATAAAGCAATTTATTTTATAACAAAACTGTCACAGTAGTTAGTAGATCCAAAAGTGAATGCAAGAAGGAGGGTCTGAGCTGTGTTAAGAGTAACAAAGTAGTGTGGAAGTTTATAGTCCTATTTCGGGTTACTTGAGTAATCACCAAGAACTGTTCCCAAGATTCTCCAGATTATTTTTCAGGTTACAAATGTGTGAGAGGTATGTAGGCTAATATTTGCAGTCACATTGGCTAAATTATATGGCAATCAATCAACACAAGCACTACTTACTATGTTTGCGGTATCCTGTATAAAGTGGAAATATATCACTTTCACTTTTA